ATACATACATTACATTACATTACGTTACGGTACGTTACGTTACGTTACGTTACATTACATTACATTACATTACATTACATTACATACATACATATAAACATGCATACATACATACGAGAGAGGGAGATTGGGGAGAGAGAGGCTTGGGGGGATGGGGAGGATGGGGAGCAAAGGGAGGGAGAGAGGACGACAGAACACACAAGGGAGACAAGGGTGAGAGGAAGAAGGAGAAAAGGGAGAGGACAATGTCGGCGGACTGAGCCGGAGGCTGTAAAGTATATATATACATATCTATATATATATACAGACACACACACACACCCACGCACGCACGCACGCACGCACCCACACAGAGAGAGAGAGAGAGAGCGAGAAAAAAGAGAGAGAGAGAGAGAGAGAGAGAGAGAGCGCACAAACACACACACACACACACACACACGGCGTTCCGCTCGCCTGCGCCGACGTCAAGTCGCACTCCCAGCCTAGGCTACGCGTCATTGCAAAATCATCTGTAGAGGCCTGTGATTCGAGACCAGCGAGCTGGCCACAACCCAAAAACCGCACGTCCATTTGCCACTGTCAAAACAAGCACCAAGCCAGTGGCTACCAAACTTTCTCAACGTGTTCCCACTGAGTTCACTGAAAGAATCGCAGCTTGCCGGCCCTTCCAGGAAATTGCTGCCACGATACGTTCCGAAAAGTTTGCCCTCCAGCAAGTGACTCACCAGCTGGAAGTTGGCCGGATTGATCCTGAGCTGCAACCAGACCTGCAAGTGGGCGTACGTTTCTTGAGGGAATCCTTGTCAGGTTGGTTTAAACGGAGGAAAATCACAATTTGGGTTGCCCCCCCAATTATACAAGTTAAATGCTGTTGATCGGTTGGCCATGCCCTGTGACCCTTGGACTGTCAGGACTCTTGCGACTCCCGCTACCCTTGGCCCAGGACAAGCTAGCTTTCATGCAGGGCACAGATCGAAAGCTGGAGACTGGGTACCATCCGCACCGGGTGTCATGGCCAGCACTACAACTCTTTGTTTCTGGTGGCTTGCGTCGCATGCATGGCTGGCACAGCGCCAGCACTCAGAGCCACAAAACAGCGGACAAATGAGTGCACGCTTCTCTGCACAGGGGCTATTAAACGTGTATTTGCGAGGTGCAAAAGTGATGGGTTTGGTTTCCGCTAACCTTAGGAGTTGCTTCTCGCTTTTTGCTGGATGACGAAAATGAAGTAGTTCAGCGAGGTACAAGCGTCATCAACACCAGCATCACCTTAACACCACTTGCCTTTCGCACGGGTTCGGTTTGTTCATTGGCGTTCGGTTTGTTAGGGTGAGATTTTAATTGGGGTTAGGGATTGGCTAAGGCTGGCTTTTGGGCGGGTTGGTCAGGTGAGTTTAGGGTTGGTTTAGGGTTGGTTTCGCAGGCCGGCTACTCCTGTGACTACACGAACAAGCGGCTGCCTATTAGGCCACGCACGCCAAAAAGGCAACGAATGCTAACACGTACACTCCATTCCAATCGCTCCTGTTTTGCCGCGCGAACTCAAGCTCCCCACTTGCGCCAGCAATTGGAGCAGTACCTGAAAGCAAAGCTCAATTTGGTTCCCGTTTACTGGCCCCTTCCGGAGCATCCCAAAAGGGGGGGCCGCGTATTTCCCCATTGTGGCTGGAACTGTCGGCTGCGCTCGGATAGAACAGAGATGCTCAGAGAAAATCAACTCGAAACCTGGGTCTCCGGCCACTGACCCCGCGCCTCAGAGTGACTGAACCCTGGCGTTCCCAATTGCTAAAAATTGATTCCCCTGCTCAACCATCGCTCCTTTCGAAAGCAGCAGCAACTGGGGGTGTTTTGCTGGTTTTCTGGAAAATTACTACCTCCCATTCCATCTTTCATAGAATGGCTTCGAGGAGGACAATGTGGTTACAATCCAACATTGAAGAGGGTCTTTGTCTTTCATTTCCATGTCAATTTCTTGTTTGTGGGGTTCTTCCTTATCAGATGCTTCATCTACATGTTCCATCTTCTAATAACCCTACCAGGAATTCCAACTATACTAAGATAGTAAAGATTTCTATGGAAAGATATGAACGATCCCTAGGAACGCCAGAGTCCTAGATCCCGAGGCCGCCGGGCACTCCAACCGTCCAACCTCTTGCGGTGGCACCTGGGCCGCTTCTCAAACCGGACCCCCTTTTGGCTTGGCATTCCAAGGGGAACCCAAAGGAAACCAAAGGAAACCAAGGAAACCCATCATTCCGGGGATGCTTTGGAGAGTTAACCCCCCCAAAGAAGCTCGCCTCGGCCGCAGGAAAAAATAAGCTCCCCGACTGCGCGCAGCGGTTCCACACGCCCTCCGCCGCGGTCAGTTCGGGCGACCAACCTGGAAGATAGGAATCCCTCAAAAACACCATCCCCCCAAACCTCGCAAACCTCCAAGACGCATGAAACGGCCGCCTGGCGCAAAGGGGCTTGGGGCATCTTCGAAGACCTCCAGGACTGGCCTGCCAACTCAAGAAGCAAAGCTCGTCTGCATGCACTTCTGGTCCTGCCTGAAGTCCTCCTCCCCTGGCCCGGCCCAACGGAATTCGCAATCGAAGCCCTTGCCCACTTGCCATGTTTTAGTTGGACCACAGGGTTGATCCCACACCATCCGTATTTGTCCATGTCCATTCCTTCTTGCACGCCTTCCAAGCCTTCATCTTCGCCTGAAACACGTGAGCACGGTCTCAGGCAACCGACCTTGGCCACGCCTCGTTTTGGTTGGAAGGCCCGGATCCGCAGCTCACGCCTACAGTCCACAGGCTGAAACTCCAGGTCGCCCAAGGCAACGCCGGGGACCCGGCGGCAGCATCCCATGCTCCCACCTCGCCGAGTGTTCGAAACAGGTTTAGGTTTTGTGGCCATGGCTCATGCTGTGGGGCGGCGGCCACTGCTGCATCTGCCAATTGCTGTACGGCCCTCGGCCTCAGCACAGACAGCCTCACAGGCTCCGAGAGGCTCCGAGCGGCTGATCGCTGGATCCGAGAGGCAGAGTCCCTTGGGATCCAGATATTCCCAGCAGGCGCAGCCTGGAACGCAACACCAGCCAAGAGCACCATGTCCGACGAAGATGTCACTGCCCGCACCAAACTTGTTGAGACCTTCAAAGTAAGCAATTTTGAAAATATGGAAACGTTTTCAGACATGTTGTTAGCTTTCTGTATATTTACGAAAATATAGAAACGATTTTAAGAATATATATATATATACATATTTATTTATATTGCATATACACAGAAATGTTTATATAAAAACGAAAATATGTATTTTAAAAAAAAATGAAAATATATACCTTCTAGCCTTAATATTGAAGTTGATAATGTGTTGTATTTGGTGGATTTGACCATACACGTGCTTCATGTAATGGTTTCAATTTACATGGACATATTATACTGTATCTTTCACCAAAACAATTTGCATTACCTGGATGTGTTGTACAACTAAATGTACTATAATTGTTTGATGGAAATAAACTGGTGCCAGGTTGATCTTCAACCATCCTAAAAGAGGATTTCCGGATTTGGGGGCACCCCTTTATAGGAAAGAAGCCTGCCAAAGCCTGGAAATTCACTCGCTGGCAAATTCAGGCTGTGGCTCCCCGATTCGGCCGCCTGCTCGTGCTCCGGACCACCTAGCAGACAAGGCGAACTCAGCTGCGGCCCGGCACGTGTTGTCGTGCGTATTTGGATCCGACACACTGCATTGGCCTCTCCGGATTTCGAACGTGCGCCAAATTCGTTGGATCACCCGAAAACCGAATTCGACTCGGGCCTTCCTCCAGTTTGGCTACCGCAGACCTGCCAACTTTCAGTGCCTGCATGGAATTTTCGACCTGCTCGACCTCCAGTCCCACACGCGGAGCACGTCGAAGTGCTTGGTGTTGTCTCGTCCCGTCCCATGCCTCGGCTCTCGGCTGCACTGCCAAAGGTTCCGAGGATGTCTCCGAGCGGACCATTCGGAGACGAAAATGGAGAGGCCGTTAGTGCCTGAGACGAAACCCCGGCGAAGCCAGGCAATGGAAGCATGGAACTCGCAGAATCCAACTAGCAGGCGGGCGCGTGCGGAACTTCTTCCTGCCATGCGACTGGTCAACTGGAACTTGCATTCATAGGCTTCCAAGCATGCCAGGAGTTCAAATGGTGCAAAACCTCCCAGCGTTCAGTCACCACCTCGATGCGGACCTTGCATTTCCTGGATGCAAGGCTCACATGAATTCCTTGACAATCGTGACCTGAACCTCTCCAAAGATTCCGTGATTTCCAACATGGCAAAAATGTAGCCCTTGGCAAACCTTGTGGAGAGGAGCTGAACAAGCAACCCACTCGCCTGGGATAGTGGTAGACCGCTGCGCGCTGCAACACGTACAGCCGGCGGTTGTTCAGAGCGAAGAGGCCCTGGCTGCTTGCCCAACGTCAACAACTAAAAAAGTGCGGCCGCTCACATGGGACTATCCTTTACGTCCCTTCACATACCCGGGTTTGGATTGCGGCTCATTGTGGGCAACACTCTGCTTAGTGGAGGGCCATAGATCTCTTCACAAGGATCCCTTTCTGTGGTTGAGTCTAGAATCTGTAACCCCGAAGGCACCCTGGATCTTTCTGGCTTGAGGTCGACCATACGAAGGTGTGCCTCGACACCCCGCCGCTCTTCTCCGTTCTCGTCCAAGACGGGCTTTCCCTCCCCGTCCTGGGCTCGCGAGCTCGCCCTTCAGCTCACCATGGCCCGAAGCTTCTTTCCATCGCAAGAGCTGGGTAGCTGGGCCCGAAGCTTCGGACACCATCTGACCGCCTGAGCCGGAAGTCGGAACTGGAAACCCCGATACTTCCCCACCCCACGGCACAAATGGCAATGCTGAAAACCACAAGCAAAGGGACATGTAGGGAGACTTGTCATATGGCACCATAGCCAGCACCCCTGGCCTGAATTTGAGGAAAAGGCGTCTTGAGCCAATACGAGACCTGCCAATCGTTCCCAGCGAAGTGTCAGGGTTCCTTAAAGGATACATGCCACAACCCCTGATATACAAGGGGGATTCTCTGAATCAGCTGGCAAGGATCAGGTCATTGTTTCAGGGGTCCAAATGTATCCTTTAAGGGACCCTGAGTATGATTGGGTCTGAGCCTCACTCGTGTCATTCTCCTCCTCAATGGCAACCACCTCCCTTGCAAGAGCACAGGCCAAATCAGGTTGCTGCTGTGCTTTTCCTGCAATCACAAGGCCTCACGGTCTCGTCCACGGACGTGCCATCAGAGAATAATGGATATATCACATGCTGGGAAAAGTTGACCTGCCAGGTGGAAAAATCGGGCAACATCGCATCTCTGACTGTTGCGCGTGGCCTCCAACGGCGATACCTCAACCTCTTGTAGCTTCCCATGACCTGCAGAAGTGGCAACTTTTAACCCATGCTCCCCAAAAGAATCCAAGCATCTTAGCATCACAAAGACTCGCTCTGCAGATGTTTCTTGCAGCAATTTGCCATGCGCGCCAAGGCAAGTTTCCTTGACCTGCCAAGTTACACGGCGGTCGTGTTGACCGTGACCGTGGTGCCTTTTCCGAAGATATTGAGAATGTTTGTTGTGATCTCAAGAGGGGCGTCCAAGTCTTTTCAAGTTAACTCGAACAAACACTCCTCACAGCGAAGGCTCGCAAGAAAAGCTATGTGTACAGTAGCACAGGGCCAGGCGAACGAGCCCACGATCGTTGCCTTGTCGCCCTTTTGGCGCAGCCCTAACCATCCAGACTCTCCAGCTTCGAATCGAGAGCTTCGGCGAAGGATGGCTGGGCACCCAAGCTCTTGATTTGGTAGGAGCTTGAGCTGTTCCCGTCCTCCACTTCTTTGGCCTCCTTTTTGTCCTTCTCCCGCGACGTCATGGCCCGGCTTTTCGCCACCGGCTTCTTCTTGGGCTTCTTCCGCTTCGACTTGTCGGCCTATTGCAAAAAATGTGAGCTAACACAACAAGCCGGTCCAGTTCCTTGAAACCAAAAGAAGGTTGCTTCAACAGCTTGACATGTTTTGGTCTAAACCAGGCACAACGGTGCTTTAACCATGCTTCCGTCGGCGTTGACGCCCCTCACAGTGGCCTCCACGTCGGAATTCTCCGGGGCCTCTTCCAGCGGATCCCTCCGAGACACCTTCCGCACCGAAGACGCCGAAGTCGCCGCAGTCGCGGCCTTCTTCTCGCGGGTGGAGTCCTTCGAGTCTCTGGGCTCCTTTTCCTGGACCGCTGTTGGAGTGTCGTAGCTTCCCTCGAAGTGGTTTGGATTGGTGCTTTGCCAAAATGTCCGGGCTTCTTTCAAATCAAATCACCAATCAAAACCACCAACTAAGGGTTGTCCGAATGTCTGTCTTTGTTGAGTTGGTACCCTTTTCAGGCGGGAACCTCACCTGGGATATCCTGCTTCAGGGCAACCACCGCTGGCACAACTATTGGAATGTGGGGATTTCTCAAACTAGAGAAACCCTATCACTGGGGACACCTAAAGGAAACCGAAGCTTATGGGGGTCCCCCAATTTCAGACCCTTGGGGCTCCTCAAACTGACCCGCGCCAAACTGTGATTTCAACGGGTTTCCGCCTAGGTCCCGAGGGACCGAGACAAAGGCGAAACCACCGCTATTGCAGTCATGTGAACCTCGGATTCTTACGAGGACTGCACTAGTCAGGCTTGAACCACCCCGTTCAATATGGAAATCATCTCTATTCTTGAAGGTTTCTTGGATTGGCGTCCTCCGGATCAATGCCCTCATTTCAGAACTCATGTACATATGGGGGCATTGCACCCAGTGGTTCGATGCTTACAAATGTACTTAACCAACGGAGCCACACATTAAAAACAGAGGAAGACTCACCCGGAAAGTGGCCACCAAAGGATGATTTGGACACAACTGCCAAAGGAGAGGTTTAGACTGTTAGAATAGCGAACTTCCTCACCAAGTAAATCACTTGGACTTGTTCCGCCTGCCTTTCTCTCCTCCTCCTCCTTCTTCTTCTTGCGGCTGGGCTTCTCCTTCTTCCAGGGTTCGTCGAGTCAACCCCCGTTTCAACCGGGGTTTAATCCACGGTTGTTTAAGCAACCTCATGTGCGTTTCACTTTAAACCAACCTCGGAAAGGAGTACCGTCAAAAATCGGCATGTTGAAACCACTCCTCATGCGGTGTCCCTTTTCAGGATTAGCTCTGTGGTTGTTCCAACAGTTCTCCCTTGAAAGGGGACCAGGAGATGTTTAAAACCACCCAAAGGGTGGCACCCTGCGTGTCTTCCATCCCGACCACTCACACCAACTCGTTTTAGGTGTATTTTCAAAAACCAGAGGGAAAAAACCCAAGGAATGTGGCCAGTCCGGGAAACCAAACCCTGCCTTCCAGGAGTTTAGTACGTTGTTCCTCCAAAGAACATGGCTTTTGCTGGGAAACCCCTCTTCTTTCAGCAACCTCCTGGTGGTTAAAGGAATTCGCCCGG